GGGGGGGGGGGGGGACAGCGGGCAGTGTGCCGCCACTTCAGCAGCTGCAGCGGACCCGGAAGTGGCAGTGGCAGTGTCACTGTCGCGTGCGCCAGGCCAGGCAGGGGCGGTTGCTCCTCAGGAGTAGTAAAAGCTGTGGTGCCGCCATTTTGAGCTGCTCCTCCTCCCTCCCTCCATTCACGCAGCGCACATGTGCAAAACAGCCCTCCTGGGAAAGGGAGGGGAGACAACGCCCCCCCCCTTGCGTGCACTCTCTCTCTCTCTCTCTCTCTCTCTCTCTCTCTGGAGCCGATTTCCTTTAGGAGGAGCAAGTAGGAAACCGTGCCGGTGGGCAACGCCAACCAACTAAAGAGAGAGAGAGAAATGGGGATGGGAGAGAGTGGGAGTGCAGGAGCCTCGAGAGGCGGAGGGAGGGAATTCAAAAACTTGCCAAAGGTATGTCCCCCACGTTAATCCATCCACGCCACTTTTATGTGTATTGAACAGTTTGGCGGGGGGAGTTGCTATCTGGCGACCTATGGCTCGCATGCTGGCAGAAAGGGTTCCACGTGCCAGCTGTATGTAGCATGCGTGCCATAGGTTCGCCATCACTGTTCTAGTCAATTAGAGCTACAAATGAAAAGCCAAAAAGGAAACAATTGAGGACTTGGACAGAGGAAGACATATACTGACCTACACAATGAAGTATTTGCTTTGGAACAGCAGTGCAATTTAGCACCATCTAGGCCTGTTGAAGGTGGAGGATGCAGAGTGACTCCAGGGTGAGCAGATCTTGAGCTCTCCAGGAAGCATTGCCAGAGAGGGTCCTGTGGAAGAGGCTGTGTTTTACAGCTATCAATAAGTGCATCCACAATTTCTAGTTCTGTTTTCATGGACATCAGAATCCTTTTACAAGCTGTTCGGCAGGTGTAATCCTCTGCTCTGTCACAGCAGTATAAGCCTAAATAATGAATAAAACAAGAACTGTCATGTATCAATAATGGTGTTTTGTGTACTTTGCTAATCACATTAAAAATACTATAAAACAACTAAAAGTAACATAAGAGAGTACCTTACACCCGGTTATTCCACCAGACAGCAAGTGAAAGTTGTCCACATTGACTAACAATAGTTCTCCAGGATTTTCTGCATGGAAATACCAGGAACTGAAGCTAGAACTGCATGTAAAGCATGTACTCAATTTTCATACTTACTATCTGTTGAGTTTCTCATTGGATAGGACTGTGTATAGTTATTCACACAATGAATCAACTGTGGGCTCACAGAAGCACAGTAACTCTCAACAGCTTTTATCTGAGATGGTCCTGGAGAAGAATCTGTTCGAAAGATGGCTTGGCAATATTCCCGGCAGTTGGTGTGATGGCCAGCATAACTGCAACAAACTGATCCCACTAATGGGGAAAAAGATGTAAGATAATGTATCACAAGTAAAACGTCATTAACAGTTGATACATTTATATTACACATAATGTTGCACCAGTCTTGACTATAAATCCAATCGACTGCAAAGGTACGATTTATCTGGCCAGGAATTCTACATTTCCATGCTAAGACAAAATATACTGCATTACTTTGAATGTCAGTCTGGTCAGCCAGTCAGTCAGCTTAAGCAGTTGTGGAATGGATGTATTACTTACAAAATTTGTATAAAGCTGTATCTTGTTCTAAACACTATTTAAAAAGTATCCATAACAGAAATAAATGAAACAAAATAATTTTTAATGTATACATACTTTCATTTCTGTTGATGCAACTAAACAGGGCATTCTGAAAGCAAAAACAAAAATGCATAAACAAAGAGCTACTTTTGAAAAGTTAAAGAATGGCAGGTATGGCAAGTTTTCTGCTAATAAGCAGTGGAATTTAAATACATCATATCAACACATACATATACAAAAATGTATGAATAGTGAAATATTTCATAACTAGTAAAAAGTTCCTTTTAAAATGAGAAATGGAATTAAATATGTAAGTCTACCATGAACTATCACTAAGATAAGAAACACTGCAACTTTAAGAATGGCAGCTACAGCAGAATATATCAGAAGAAAGGGGCATAAAATTTGCCATGAAAAAATGCAAAAGCATCAGTAAAAAAAAAAACCCTCTCTTGCTGTCTGCAAAGAAAAATCCAAAGCAGAAAATGAATGAATGTATAAAGTAACTGTTACTGACTCTACACTTATGTTTACTAGAATTATGAATTTTACACTCAAGTTTTCTCATTGTTGCTTTTATTTCCTTAAGGAAATGGCTTAAAGTTGCACCACTGCAGCATGAGAATGGCCAGAAACATCATCTGAGATGCAGTCTATTAGGTGTTTCAAATCCTGTCTACCATTCACTCTCACATCTGACACATTTATCACATCACAAAAGGTATTTATCTACACTTCCCTGTTTGTCTAAAAACCTGAATAAGGAAAAATAATGTAAGAAGATGCTGCTGCCCACTCTGTTCCAAGTTGCAGCTTCTTGATGCCCCACATTATCCCAAGCAGGGGTTTACTGCATGGAACACCAAGTAAGGATTTCAGGGGCTGTCAAATGCTGCATTCTATTGGTTCCTGTGGTTAGATTTTGAAAGATACTATCATGGCCTGAAAACCTAGCAAGTGTGTGACTGAACAGTGTCCTGGTTTCCATACTATTGCCAAAATGCATTTTAAAAATTCATACACATCAGAGCAAATATGCAGTGTCTTCTCCCTCTAGTGGGCTGTCCTTTTTGTAATCAATTCACATGACTATTTACCCACCCAGTTTTGGAACCAGTATATACCTGGGTGTGAAGGACAAGCCATTGGAGGGTTGAAACTTCTTGTACACTTGCCTTTGCAGTCTATGTTTCCCCAACAAGATTCTGGACTATATGATGAAGTAGTTTTGATTTTCCATTCTGCTGGAACACTTTTTTCTGTCAGGCAGCAAACAATTACTATTAAATCCTTACATTTCAAAAATGAGAGAAACCAGCCACTCATTTTTTAAAATGTGAAAGCTGTACAGACTGCAAAATGTGATGCTTAATTCTAAAAACCAAACAAAAAAAGATTGTGGCCTATAAACAGATTTATTTCAATGTGAGCTTCTGTATATTACAATCTACCTCCTTACATGCTTAGAATATTTTCGTTAGATCACAAGTTTATATATACAGTATTTTAATATATATTTCTTACATGGTATCTATATAATACTATGTAAGACATACATTTATATAGTATTTCTTAACTAGATATCTAAACAGGCACAGCGAACATAATATATATTTCTTACATAGTATCTATATAACACTATGTAAGAAATACATTTATATAGCATTTCTTAGCTAGATATCTAAACAGGCACAGCGAAAAGCTTGTCTGTTGGGTGATAAAAATGGCAGGCTGCTATCTTTAAAGTATAAATAGATTGCGCTGTGCTAGAGCTAAAACAGGAAAAAGAACTGCAAAAGTATCTGCAGTGATAAACAAAACAATAGGTAAATCAGTATTAATACGAAACAGCTGAACCCCAGCAGTGTAACTTACACCATGTAAGGCTGAGGATGTCATTAGCTATAGCAGTTTTTAAATAAATTAAGGCTGAGGATGTCATTAGCTATAGCAGTTTTTTAAATAAACATTTCCAGTTCTAGTTCCCTACCCTCACCCCACTGGGGCCATATAATGGCATAGGGAAAGGAGTCTTTAATTTCCAAAAATCAATGCCATTAGCTTTTTTGTTTCTTTTTACTTTTATTTTGGCTTTGTTGCAACAAGCCAAAACAGACTAACACAGGTACCTCCTAAAAATAATAATAGTAATGATTTTGTCATAAACCAAAGTTAGATCTATGCTTCAGATCTGGTGCTGAATATCAGAATTTTCTGTTTATAAACAGAATAAAACAGAGGTGTCTACAATAGATATCTGAAGTTACCATTATAGCAGGCAGTCTTGCTCTATACAGACCACTGCCCCCCTCCAACTAAGCAGGACAAGTTCACATGGATTTTTATATTCTTCAAGAATAACTCTGAAAATTCAATTACCTCTTCAGTCCAGAATGTGCATGTTAACATTCCAATGGGTTACTACTGCCAGGAGGTCCAAACCTATCCAGTGGAATTTGGGACTTCCAACCACTCCCCTTCAAAAATGCCTTCCCACCGACTTGCCTCTAAGAGTCTTTTTAGTTTCAAAAATGATTCGTTTCATGGCATTTGGTGAGTTCCTGCTGAAGAAGCACTAACTACTAGTATGATTCTTTGGATCACATCTCTAAATTTGCTTTCAACTAACTACCAACAGTCTTCATTTTAGCCCATAAGCTAATTTCCTAAATAAATCCATTCATGTCTCAAAGAGTCCCCGTGTTACTTTTCTTACTTTCTTTTCATATTGCTCAGGATTTATTTTCTCTCTGCATCTTTAAAAAACACATTTCCTGTTTTTACATTTGATTTAATTTCCATTTAACATGTAATACAACTGCATTTTTCCAAACTATTTCACATCCATAGAAGAAAATATTTTGGCTGTTGACACTTCTCAATGAAATATAAACCATTGCATAACATTACTTCCTACAGGAGTATTTTTCAAGTTTCTCCTTTTAAACCCTAATACTTTCTATTCTGACACTGTTATACAATCATTATATTTTATAACGAGATATTCACTAGGTATTCCATATCTTGTTTGTTTTGGGGTTTTTGTTTTGTTTTGTTTTTTCGCTTTTTGCTTTGCTCTAGGCACATTTGTAAATATCCTAAAATGACTACCAAAATCACATCTAATAAAACAAATGATGACTTACATATTTCCTTGAAAATAGATACAGGTACCCACTCATAATATTTATGGCTAGATGCAGAATTATTTAGAAGTAGCCCATTCCATTTTCATAAAGGGAACCAAATGGACAAAAGTGATACTAACTTCATTCACACTGATGCCCTTTTTTGGTGATCAGGGTTTTTCTGCATCAAAGAAAATGACATTATTTGCTAGCTCTCTCATGTCAAAAAGAACTCTACATTTGTGGGACAATATTTAAGTGTTCTGGTTCTCCTCTTCATTGTCATATGCTCTCAACTCACTTCCAACTTATGACAATTCTATGAACTAGAAATCTTCAAAAGGTCATTACCAGACCCACTCAGGACTAACAAATAAAGCCTAGGGTTTCTTTTATTAAGTCAATCATGTTTTGTTTTCTTCTTTTCTTCTTGTCCTCAAACTTCTTTAACATTACTGTATTTTCTAGTGAGCCTTGTCTCTTCAACAACTTGTCTGAAGTAGGATAGCTTCAATTTAGCCATTTTCATTTCTATTAGAATATTGGCCTTGATATGATACCTACAATTTATTTGTCTTTCTGATGGCTCATAGTATCTATAATGCATGCATTGCGCACCAAAGAACAAATGTTTTTCTTGCCAGATTTTTTTTACTTTCCAGCTTTCACGTATGCACATAGTAATCATAATAATTCCCTAGGGTCGGCACTATCCCTGATGCTGTTTAACATCTACATGAAGCCATCAGGAAAGGTCATCAGGCGATCTGGAGTAAGGTGTCATCAGTATGATGATGACATGCAACTGACACACAACTCTTTCTCTCCATTACCACCTCTGCAGTGAATGCTGTCCATACACTTGAGTGCTGCCTGGCTTCAGTACTGGAATGAATGGATCAGGGTTAACATGCTCAAACTGAACTCAGACAAGACAGAGATTTTGCTCCTAGGGGGAGCCACCAAAAGGTTGGGGGAAATTCTCCCTAGGCTGGACAGCACTGCCCTCCTGTTTAGGGACTAAATTCATAAACTGGGTGTCCTTCTGGATCCATCTCTTTCTTGGAATCCCAGATTGCGGCCATGTCCAGATCAGTCTTTAACCTGCTTCAGCTAATCACCCAACTCTGATCCTAACCAGACAAGGATTCCCTCGGGATATGGTCATCTCTCGGATCAACTACTGCAATGCTCTCTACATGTGGTTTCCCTTGGGCCTGATCCAGAGACTACAGTGGGTCCAGAATGTGGCAACCTGACTGGCTGTTGGAGGAAGCAAATTTAATCATATCACTCTGGTTCTGGTATGCCTTCACTAGTTGCCTGCTATGTCCTGGATCAGGTTCAAGGTTTTGACACTCACAAATAGAGCCCTTCATGGTTTGGGTCCACATTACTTGTCAGAGCCTCTTTCCCCAATGTCATCTGCCCAACCCACTAGATCATCACTTGTGAGACTCCTCTGGGTCATCACCCTGAGGGAGGCCCACAAGCCGCCTACAAGAGGTAGGGCCTTCTTCACAGTGGCTCCAGCTTTGTGGAACCAGCTTCAAGGGGAGCTTTGCCTGGCCCTCTCCTTGTGGATATTAAAGAGGCAACTGAAGACGTGGCTTTCCAGGGAGGTTTTCCATACCACCTCTAGCTGATCGTCCGTTTTTCGTCCACCTTGCTTCTGTATTACTAGTCTGCACCATCTGGTTTTTGTTTTGTTTTTTAATAGTAATTCATTAACTGTTTTTAGGGTTTTCATCTTTATGTTTCATTTGTGTTGCATCTGTTGAAAACCACCCAAAGTAGTGCTTTGGCACTAATTGGAGCAATAACTAACTAACTAACTAACTAACTAACTAACTAACTAACTGACTGACTGACTGACTGACTGACTGACTGACTGACTGACTGACTGACTGACTGACTGACTGACTGACAGACAGACAGACAGACAGACATAATCTCAATTACTTTAACATGGGTGGTCTCA